CCATTAAAGGCTAAATAAATGTTGGCTCCCTTCTTCTTTCCATCATATATAATGTGTTTAGCATAACATAATTCTTTGGAGTTTTAAACCAATGTTGAAAGCCTGAAGAATTGCAAAACCTGACTCAGATTGGGGAAATAGAAAATTTTCAGCTGTACAGAAAGTTAAATTGGATTATTCTATACACTATATTTACTTGAGGTTCTCTTGACTCTGGTAGGAGAAAAAAAAATCACTTCTTTCCAGAAGCTTGTAGTCCCTCTTAAAATGAAATTAGATTGTAATAATAAGTGAAAAATCATAATTTGACTCCATTTATTACCCCAGCAATAGGTACTGAGATAAGTGTCTGATTTATTGCTGTGGATGGAGTGTGGTTTGTCCGACAAGGGTTAGAAGTATAGCAACATTAAGAGGTGTTGGGACCATTAAGAGTAGAGTCTAGTGGAAGGTAATTAAGATCTTTGGAGGCTCTGCCCTTAGAAAGAATTGATGCAGTTCTCATGGCACCTTGGTTAGCTGAAAGAGGGTTGTTATTAAAAAGAGCAAGATGGGCTCTTCCTCTCTTCACTCTGGCTTCCTGTCTCACTGTGTGATCTCTGGCATACGCATCTGCCATGATGTCATCTGACTTGAAGCCCTCACCACCATGTTATTCTGTTTAAACCTGCAATCTTTAAACTGTGAGCTAAATAAACTTCTTTTCTTTAAAAAATTCCAAGCCTCCAATACTCTGTCATAGAAATGGTAAATGGAACGAACACTCAAGGTAGGTTCCATTGAAAGGGAACCCAGTAGCCTACCCTCTAATACTACTCATAGTCTACCCTGCTAAGTATTGTCTTGTGCTTCCAATGTTCCCAATGACTGCTTACTCAATTTCATTCTTAAGTCAAGTGCATTTTTTGCATTAAAAGTGCATAAGCAAATTCCAAAACAGAGATATTCTAACCAGTCCAGTTTAACTAGTTGTATTGCTTTTGCGGGGAGGGGGAGAGAATACCAGGATCAATCTCAGGACCTTGCACTTGCAAGGCAGTCACAGTGCCACTGAGCTAAATCCCTGGCCCTTTCATACATTTTTAATACAAACATAAATTAAGTTGCTTGTAGTAATTAAACCCTACCAACGGTGTAGATGGGATAATATAGAAATATCTGATACAGTATTAATGCAACAAAAATAGTTGTATGATTTCAAGTTCTACCAATTCATTGTTGGATGAAAAATAGTCCATACTTTTGATTCTTTTGTTTGTTCACCATTAACCATGTAACCATTTCTATCTTTGCAGAATTGGAAGTCTGTTTAGCACTCAGACTAGAATAAGATAATATGGAGTCTTCTATCTATATAATTAGCATTGAAGAACCAATGTTTGTAACAAGTGTATCATTAAAAAAATTTTCACATTAGCATCTAGTACAGTTTTCACTTAGCACTCTATAAACAACCCATATGCACTCTAAACATATACTTAAACAACCCAGTTACATTTTAGAATCCTCTTCAAGAAAGGCTAATATAGTAAAGAAATATACTTTCCTTTTAATTAATGTTGCTTCAGCCTAAGAATTACTGAAATCCTCGGCAAAGTGAGGCCAGTTAGATATACATAAATAAATATCAGTAAAGTCATTGATCTAACAGCCTCTTATTTACACAGACATTGTGAATATAGCAGCAAGGAAGAAGTTGAAAGTACTTACCATAGGAATTGGTAAACCTCAGTATGGTGAGGCAAATACATTATGGAGCATGGATTACTGAATTCAATCCACTGTTATTTTATGTTAAATTAGCCAATGGATGAGTTACTTAAATTTCCTAAGTTTTCATTTCTTCTTCAGTAAAATGGAACTCATGAACAGTACCTATCTCTCTGGCGGTTTATGATGATTAAAAAGATTCTCTATGTTAAAAGAATCCAGAATATTAGCTAACATGCAGCAAACACTCAGTATCATAGTCATCACTGCCCTATAAATACATATGTGCTACATATACATACATACACAAATACATATGCATACATGCATATATACACAAGCAGTTGGATAAATTCTATTCTTCCGTATACAAACCGGACCAACGGGTCAAATCAAGCCAGCTAGTGAAACCCTATATTCAAACCATGGAGCTCAGCTTCTATTCGTTAGGCCTTATGCTGCATCTCGCTGCCAGCATATATCTCATCCTGAGCAACCAAAAGAACAATCTGGTTACTCATACTATATCACATTAATATGTACATTCATCACTTCAGCAAGAAAAATCACAAACAAGGAGTTCATTCATGACTCATTTTATTCATAACAATCTCAAACTTGTCACCCAAAAATTGATTTTTACAGCTACAGTTAAATAAAGTAAACACAGTCACATCCAAATTCATTTCAATGGTGTCAAAAAAATCAATTTAAGCAGTTATCTAAGAGAAAAATATAATATTAGTCCAATAAATGCAGTTTGTTAAATATTAGGAAGAAAATGCACCATTGTTTTGAAGAGAGCAAACCTAAATCATGAGCAAACAATTTACATGAACAAAAACCTCGTTTTACAACTGCATTCAAAAACTGCACATTTGGCCATGGTCTTAAAATGAAAAGAGCTACCTATGAAAAGCTGTATCTTAAAAAAAGGGTCTTATATTGATTGAAAGATTCCTGGATAATAAAGCAAAAGTTAAAAGGTTACAGTAGAATGTGAATACTGGTTTTTCTGCCTCAGCTGAATCTTCTATCAAAATAGAGAACTTCATTTTCCCTAAGGTTGGGTTATAATTAGAAATTAGACTCCTCAATAATTCAATGACTGAAATCTTTACTGAAGTTAAATGACCTTTCTAATTAAGTTTTCTCCTTAATATATAATCTCTGCTGTGCAAGTGCCACCTCTAAAGATAATGAAGTCTTTACATATTTGATAATTGAGTTTTCCTTCTTTTTTTCTCCCTTTTCTTAATCATTCTAACAGTAATTAGTTATTGGTAGAACTCTTAAAGTACAACAAATTACTAATGCAGTCTGTTAAGTGCTCTGGTTTTTATATTTATAATGTTCCTATTTTTCATCCCATCATGAAAAATGTTCAAAGTTGAATATTTTACTGGTCTGTGTCTCTCTTCCTTTTTTGTATTCTCATTAGAAAATAATACAGCTAGTGAGGGGGAATGTGCACCATTTTATTATAACGTTAAGAAGACTTAGAATTTATTAATCTGGAGAGCAGAGTTCAGATATATGCATAAAATTTATGTTAAATCCAAAAGTTCTGGCTACAAATAACACACTTACAATACAGATTCATCTAAGTAAATAAATAAAAATATGGTAATTGTATTTAAAATACTTACAATTTCAATCTTTAAGAATTTGTTTAAAAAATAAATGTAACTAATCAAATCCACCTCTTCTGCAGAAATCTAAAATGACGTAGGGAAATGCTTCACCATCACTCTTCCCATTCATTAATCATTAATAGATTATAAGACAGAGGCCAAGTGAATAAGTTAATTACTCAAGAACAGCAGACAATTGTCAGCATTTTTACTTTTTATTAGATTTCTTATCTATGTAGTTCTTGAGAGGAAAAAAAAAGGAATTTCACCTGACAGATGGGAGAAAAAAATATGTACCTTATGAATACTAGCACCACCCCCCAAAAGATGTGGGAATATCCAGCTCTACATTTTACACATCACCAAGCACTAGCAAAAAGAAAAACGAACACGAACGGAACCTTTTGCACTGCAAGTCACTCAAGAGCCAAATATAAAGAATAAAGTATAGTTTCTGGATTGTCCCTCTCCAGCCCAATCTCTGGGATGCTATATATTTCTACCTGGTTTACTACTAGAAAACAGATTTCAGCTTTCATGATGCTTCTAAATGGGTTTCTTCATAAATATCTGCACTCTTCCAGCAAGACCATCAAGGTAGTTTAATCCCTTATGGATTGCTCCGTAGAATAAATGTTGATTCCCAATTGTAAAAATTAATTTTGTAGCATTTCCTGTACTAAGAGCCGTGAGGAAAGCATAAAGATAATTTGGATTCAGAATGTTATCTTGAAGACTTACAGGGCAAATTAGAGCTCAAAGAACCGAAGAGGATGCTGGGGGAGAGGGCACCGAGAGAGTGCGAGAAAGATGCTGGTCAGTTCCGAGATGATGCAGGAATGACATGGCACCCAGACCTCACAAGTCCACATCCACCCCCCCAACTCTCCCCCCCCCCCCCCCGGCGCC